AAAAAAAAAAAAAAAAAAAAAAAACGGTTTCATGTGGCAAGCCGGTTTAACATTAATTCCATAAAACTAGTGTTTTTTTTTTTTTGGGTTAAAATGACATAGTTTTAATGACTAGTAAGCAAGTCTATTCTAAGAGAGACTGCTGTTCATTGACAGTTATTCCAGTAGTGACCTATGCATTTATTATCTCAATATTGCTTATTCATAACATACTGGTGTTTTCGATTGTTACTAGTCACCATCCCAATAATTATTCAGTTGTTATATTAGTAACATACTAGACATGTTATTCTGTTTTAAATAGGATGGTTGGTAGTTAGTTTGTCTTTTATGTGTTCCTAGTGTTGCTACTACCTATTCCAGTACTACTACTACTGTTACTGGTTAATAGTGAAATTGAGAAAAGGTAATTCATATTCAGTTACTTGATAGTAATTAAAAAAAAAGAACTTTATATTTAGATACTAGTTAGTTTTAAGGAATAAATGTTAAAATTGCGTGCCATATGTTGTAGGCAGTAAATTACATAATGCACAGCAAGTCTGAAGATATCAGATGTGGGGTTGATGTCTCTTTTGCATACTGGTAGTAGTGCATATGTTGCACACTGTGCTTGTGTTTTATTATAATAAACGTGTAAGCACACAGCATACTAAAAATGACCGCAACAATTTGAATAGAAAATAGAATAACATTTCAGCTGTTTTGCATTCAAATGCAAATTTCACTTAACGATAATTTTAATTACATTACAGGATTTTACATTTTATGCTAGTTTCCCTAACCAAATATTTGATCATATGAAAGAAAAAAGGCTCAAAGACATAAGTGGAGTCCTTTAATCATTATTAATGTCAATAGTTAGCCATATAAATAACGTGACCTTTTAATGTTGTTGACCTTATCTTGTTTTGTTCCAACCACCCAATTTTTTCGAACGGACCAGCATTTTGTTAGACCCTTTGTTAAGATTCAGAAAACAATAAATTAGAATAAAAATATGTGGTTAAGCAGTTGAATAACAATCAAACATAAAATTTACTAACAATAATAATATAATGTAATATAATGGTAATACAACAAGTCAATTTACGTTATACACAAATACAAGTGTTTGAAGTCAGATGAGAAACTCTAAATAGTCAGAAAACAGTATTATTACATCCTTGTTTTATTTTTGTTGAGAACAGGCAGTCACTAAATGCTGTTTGTAAACAAATGTAGTTGAGGCCCCAGTCAGACAAAATGGCCGTCGGTGGAGGAAGGGAGGATGTGTGGCTGCTAGTTTCACATCACGTATTACTGTTGCAGTGGACTTGTTTAGTTTTTCTCTTTCCTTCCCTTCCCGGCCTTTTCAACCCAACATATGTCCACACAAAGGAACAAAGACTCCTCATAATCCCCATTGGGTAGAAAAAGTGGGTTAGTTCCTTCTCCACACAGTTAAAATGTGCGTTTGAGAGAGGATTGCCAGATTGAAAACACAGGTGTTGTGTAAGATCGATCTGAAAATCTGTCTCTGCTTCCTGTTCTCTAATCACATCACTAAATACACGTTCATCACGGCTTTGTCCTAATTCTCAATCTCACAGCAGGCCTCGTTTCACAAATAACACTTCCTAATACAGCCACCACAATGTTATTTGGACGTTGACAAGCAACATTTTCACTTCGTTATACATGCGTAGTACGAGCATTGTTGCAGTTTGGGTGGGTTGAGTTGTGGGTGGGTTGATCTGCATTGATCATTGTATACTAGGCTTTCAGGAGAATGGGACGTCACGTCACAGACAGCACACAGGCGGCATTATCTAACCCAGGACTACAGGTGGCCTGCGGGGGCCTAGCCTATTTCAGAGCCGCACAAAGAGGCTTGAGACCCATCCCTCCGGCTTCTGTTCTCCACCTGTCACCCAATACACAGAGCCAGAAGGGAAAGAAAACGCAATTGCGAGAAGTCATTTTCTTTTTTGGAAAACGAGTTCTTTGTGTAGGGTGTAACTTAGCACTTTTAAAAGTCGTGATTTGATGTTTAGCGAATGAATTAGCTGGTAATACGTGGACACAAACATTTACTAGCAAAAAGCAAAGCTGATCCATTTGGAGCTGTAATATTTAATCAGATCAGGTTGTCTGAAAGGGACGCTTTGTCTTTAAGAGGATGGTCCCTCTCTCTCCAGCTGCTCTGCCAGGACTTCACCCTTTTGCTCTCGTTGTGTTTGAAGACTTTGTGACTCTCGGGCCAAAAGGGGATTGTGCAATCAAATGGTTCTCTCTCTCTCAGTCACGTAGGCTTCTGACACAGTTGGTTAATGGTTGTTTATCTGTGTTCTACCAACGATCATTCACACTGTGAAAAACATCCTCGCTCCCTTTTTATGGTTACTTTTGCTGCAATACAAGGCCGAATTATCAAAATTTTTTTATTTTTTAAAACCGTGATTAATTTATTATGGTTAGGGTATGTGTGTGCAGTTATGTATTATTTAGTACGTCCTTACTTGAATTGCATCCATGTTTCCTTTATTGTCAGAATAACACAACAAATAAAACCGTTTATATTGGATTCTGAAACTTACTGTAGTAATTTTTATATAAAATGCTGGGTTTTAAAACTATAAATGAACATTTTAGAACTTAAGCTAAAAAACAACCAACTAACCCTAACCATTGTCTTAGTGTAGTTAAGGATGAATATAATTAACAGTTACATAAATTGTAATATTTATCGAACATATGAGCTGTCTGCCATTTTTAGTAGTAATACCTGAATATTGTCAGCTGATAATGGAAATTTAAATATGCATGTTCATTTACACCTAATTTTACATCGAGTAGTATTTTTAATTAATTAATTAATTAAAGTAATTAATTAGTAATTAAGTAATTAAAGTGTTCTTTAATTTCACTAATAATTTAGTATGCTCAATTTTATAGTTTAAGATAACATAAACATTAAACATCTCAAAATTAATATTTTATGTGCATTATAATTTACATTATAAAACAACTGATTTTATTTTAATTTTTTTGAGACAAACTAACTTTTTGGCTATAACACAAAAATTAGTACAAACTTATCAATCAGAGTTTTAATATCTGTGCAATCCCAACTAAGTTAAAAATATATATATTTTATAAAGAATATAGATGGTGATAGTGTTCTTCAATAACATTTTTTTTTTTTTACATATCTTAAAATGAATGCCTTTAATGTACATTAAAATTAAAAGTTATAATTTAAAATGAATGATTTTAATTTAATTGTTCGATGATTGTTTTTAGAAAAAAGAGAATAGAATTAACATAGAAACTAACACAGAATTGTAATACTGGCCATGACTTATCATACAGAATTTTAATATCTATGCATCCGTAACTGAGTTGATAAAAAAAAGTGCAAGTTTCACAGAAAAATCAACATTTCAATCAAATAAATGAGTTTAATATTATATGTAATATGTAATGTCTGTTCATTTTTTGTTTTGTTTTGTTTACCAATGCATTTTATTTAATACTTTATATATGCCAGATCACAAAACCTCCTCCTCCATCTCTCTCTTACAGAGCAATACAAGCACCACTGGTTCCCAGACCGTCCCAACAAAGGTTCTGGGTATCGCTGTATACGCATCAACCACAAGATGGACCCTCTGGTTGGACAGGCTGGCCAGCGCATCGGCCTGAGCATCCAGCAACTCTACCTGCTGCTTCCCAGTGAGCTCACATTGTGGGTCGACCCATTCGAAGTGTCCTACCGCATCGGAGAGGACGGCTCGATCTGCGTGCTCTACGAGTCCCTTCCCAGCACCAACGGAAACCCCAGCGTCACCACTGGAAACAGCAACCCCACCTCCTCTGTCGCCCAGGTATCCCCGATGGTGGACAGTCACATCAGCTGCAAGGAGGAACTACTGGTTTTGGGCCGCACCAGCCCCGCTAAACCCTACATGATGACTGTGTCCAGCTAAATGGGTCACGGAAGTCATTTTTAAAAAATAAAAAAGAGAGAAAGGAGAAGGAGAAAAAAAACCCAGGATGTGTCCTATCGTCCAGGTGATGGAAACCTCGTAGGTTTAATTTTCACTCGTTTGGTTGTCTGTTCTGTTATTGTGTTGGATCTACCAGAGGCTTGACCCTGGGGCAGCTAATGAAGACCTGAAACATCGCCCGACCCCCCAGCTCACTCCTGGGGCGGCTTTTTCCACCATCGTCTGCCGATGTTGACTTTGCACTTTCGCTTTCACGGTTTCTGTTATCGCATAAACTCCCTCTAAAATGTTAAGGACTTACTCTCAAATCCTGTTTTATCATTTCACTGTTCGCTGCCGAGCTGAAGCCCAGACCCACCGGCAGCCGCACCAGACCCGAGTAGCCGCTATGAGCCTATTTTTAGCTAAAACCCTCACTTTTTTGGACCACAAAGTGGTACTTTTGTCTCTTTTCTCGATGTCTGGTACGCACCCGGGCCTTCTTTTGGGCTTCAGGTCGACTTGAACTGGCTCTGCTGTGGTGGAATACCCGTGTCATACTGTTACCCACGCTAGCCGTCAGTGGCACTGTGATGCAAAGGTTCTCATGCTTGTAGCTTTTTCTAGGGACTCCCTCCTGGATGAATGTAATTTCTAACAAAAAAGAGAAAAAAAAAAAACCTCAACGCAACAAAACATTTGATTTATTTAAGCCCCTCATCATACCAAAATGAAAGATGTAGCAACGTTTGTTTTTGTATTTGTTGACTTGGAACAGATGTGGTCTTTACTTTCTGCCTGGTTTAGAAAGGACGTTGAATGCACTTTGACATTTTAGACTGTGTGGGATGACGTTTCGAATCGACCCAGCTGCATTCCATCGCGTACCTCCTCATTCAGGTGTCGTAATTCGCTTTCTCTGGTTGCAATATTTCTGAAGGCGCTTCAATCCTGGGTCGTTCTCTCTAGCCGTTTTTATCCTTTCGAATGACTGATTGAGGCTGTTAGAGATTAGTTCTCCATCTAAGGCCAGTATGTGGCAAGAGACGACAGACCGGCATCAAAAATCGGACCAATGTTTCCCATCTTATCGTAGAATCGCAGGGCCAGTGATGCTCGCTTGTTACAGAGGGTCTCCCGACGCACTTTCCAGCCAGTCGTCACCGGTCTCAGTCTTAACTAGGAGTGCGCCGTCAAAACATATCACCTCCCTCCCTTGGCCTGGAGAAGGAGGGGGTAGGACCCTCAGATCAGGGCAGCTACAATCTTCTCCAGCCCCTTCTCGCAGCCCTGAGGAGAGTTTTCATGCCAGCACACAAACCGAGCGCACTCCAAAACCTACTGAGCCTTACGTACAGGGCCGAGTCGGGACGGGAAGAGACATGCGGTGTGCTCCTGGTTCTGGCCGATTCTGTTTACATTGGCGCGAATGGGCGGAAATAAGCAGGTTGCAGGCTTTGCGTGCAAAGGACTGGTCTTGGCTTAGCCACTAAACTGCCAAGACAAGGTGCTGATGACCAGTCCTATGTGTGCTAATACTTTTGAACCTAGAGGACCATGGGTAACGCCGGGTTGTCGATGCACTGCTGTCCCTTTCTATGTTGTTTTGGTCCATTTTTAAGAAGTGGAAAGCCGTTTTTAAATCAATTTGACATTTTAAGTACGGGTCGAACCTCGATATTTGGACGCAGTTCGCCATCCCACCCTTCTGAATGCTTTGAACTCTGACAGGTGGACCCTTTCGCCCGATGGTTTTAATAGTAAAGCTTTTTAACCTCATTCTGGTTATCGTAACCAAATTGGAACAGACAAATCGAGTGCTTTTTAGATCTGCAGCTTTTAAACTACTTTACCCCCCTCCTCCACCGAAATAACATCAGCAAACCATTTCCACTCTCCGTTTCAGTTCGGTAAGCGTTTGCACACAAGTTTTAAGTATCGTCGTGGGTCTAAACTCAAGTCTACTTGGAGGCAAGAGCACATGAAATGCACTAATAGGTTAAACATTGAAGTTATGTGACTTTGAGACCGACGCGTCTCGATTGGAATGTATTGCCAAGCTCAGGCCACAGACATTCATTGAAACCCTTATGGATGTGCAGGTTAAAATGTGAAAAACAGAAGGGAATGATTCGGTTGGGAATTTTTGTCAGTAATTTCAGAAGTGATTCATGTTATTGCCACTTTCGCATCTGAGGTGGTTCCATATTTGTAGAATGTATTGTTATTGTACAACATATGGTAGAGTAAGTACGTAACCATACATATGGGAAGTGCCAATAATTGATATTTTGCTGTGTGTAGACGTGTTCCTTTTTGTATTTCATATTTTAACATGAATTCCTCTTTCATAAGTGAAGCCATTTGTGTTAGGAGTGTTGGAGAGGACCAAAGTTGTTTTGGTAAAAAATATATCAGTTTCCATGCTCTGTGCTGATAGACTTTCCTTGTTTTTTTTCCCCTCTTTTCTTTCTTTTTTTTGTTTTATTAAAACAAAAAACAGAAAAAGAAAAAATTCTGAGCAACCCAAGATAAAGCTGTCTGTATCTTGTGATTTTTCTCGTCTGTACATCTCGTGTTCATTTTTTCCTCATTCTTGGGTATGTTGTGATGAACTGCTGTAAATTTGTACAGTTCATGTAAATTGATTGTGCGGAAGTTGTACAGATTTCTATATTTTAGAAGAAAAGTTTTTTCTCTGTAATAAAAGATTTCCTATCTTGGCAATGTTTTCCCGTGGACTTGGTCTTATTCTTTATCAAAACATGCTCATAATCGCATTTCATTAGGTAATTCTTTGTGCTTTTTGGAAGATATTTATGATAACAGCACTGGGATAGTTTTGTATAACAGACCTGAGTATGCTGATATATGCCATTCCAGTTCCACCATTTTAGACAAAATATGCCAGACATTAGTTAGTAACAGCCCTGATGTCACTGACCTGCTTTTCATTTTTTTTCCAGCGTTAGGACAAAGAAAGGAAGTTTGTATGGATTTCAGTAGAGCATGATTCTAGCTTGTAAAAATATTAAGACATTAACCTGCTTAAAGTTAATTATAAATGCCCACCGTTACTTATTAAAAACATTAACAGCCAGTCAGAAAGAATCCACCCAACTTTAAATAGCATGAGCATTTAAAGTGGCAGATGACATAACTGCAACTTGTGTATTGGTGTGGATGCTAATATAATAGTTCTCATTCTAATGATTAATAAGTCTAATAGTTATCTTTCTTGGTGTGAACAGGCCTTTAGCCCAAGAGGTCAAAATTTAGCTAGTTAACAGTTAGCCCCTGCTTATATAGGTGCTGTAACTACACCATCATTACCAAAAGCAAGCCTATTCTCTTGTTTAGCATATTGCTAATAATTCATTATAGTACAGAAGATGTTTTAGCAGTGCTCTTTTTCCTCAGTTGGCTCTTAAAAGTATCCAATAGACTTTGTTTTGGATATTTTTCCCTGCCTGCTGCATTTTTACATATAGCTCAGAATAGCTGCTAGTACAGTGTGTCCTTGTCGTGCTAATGAGCTAATTAGCATAATTTTCCTGCAGGTATGGAGTTACTGAATACATGACATTTATGGATCATGTGAAATCCCTCAGTTTAAACAGAGGGATGTTGAGAAAAGTTTAACACTACTTTCATGGATGTTGCGCTAGCTGAGTAGCTAGCATTAAAATAAATGGGAATGCTAATGCTTGGCTTTCTCCAAGCCTACTTTTTCCAAATAACGTTCTTCTAGCATAAAGCTTGAAAATTACATAAAGTAAGGTTGTCTGTATCGATGAAATCTTTCTTTTGTGTTTGGGAAGGGAAAACATGCAGGTTTGGAAGGATCATTGTCTCTAGCAAGAGCAAAAGATCAAACGCAAAGTATTGTGGGTACTGTCAAAATGCTGACTCCATTAAAAAAAAAATTATAATAATAAAGTGGGTGGATTGACTGCACAATCCCCAAGCTTCTGTTTTCATGAGTTGCTTGGTGGCGCTCTGAATTAGAGGGTATTTCGATTCAGTAGACAAAGACTGAGATGGGGGTTGGGAGAAGACAAGTATAACAAAAGGGAACATGAAAAGACCTGGATGGCTGTTCATGTGACCTATAGTTGTCCAAACACTTGGAAAGCAGCGAGAGTGTTTGAAACGGGACATACATTCTTTGGGTGTGGTTGTCGTGTGACTCAAACGGGTCCAATACATCTATTTACCTGCAGGCCTTGTCAGAAGTCGCCTTGCTTGTCTTATACTCTGCTTAAGTCATTCTGTCCAAAATGCTCTAGCGTTCCTGGTTTTCCAAGGAAGTAATTATGCGGTAAACATCACAAACCTATGGAAAACAGTGCTTGACAGTGTCTGGCAGAGCTTGAGATTGTATTTAGATGCTAAAATTCACAGTAAAAAAACAGATCTGTGGAATTGCTGTAAGTGTGTGTGTGTGTTTCTCCACACTGTGTGGGCTGTTTGTTCTTCTTTCTTCTCACATCTGCCTTTCGGCACTCAACCACCCTCTCGTTCTTCATCTGCAGCGTAGGGCCACAACAAAAGAGGACCTGAGTGAAAGCAGCTGGAAGGAAACTGCAGTCTCTCTGTCACTGTGGGGGAGACTCACCTGGTTGCTTTTCTCTCTCACTCTTTCTTCTTTTATTCAGACTCTTTCTACTCCTGCCAGGTGTTCTTTGCTTTCATCCCACAGAACTCATCCCACAAAACAGACTGAATATTTTCTGTAGAACTGGCAGGATAAGCTTATTCTTTTTTTATTAATTATACATAATATGGAAGCAAACACCATAAGTATTCTGTTATTCTGTGTAGGCTCCAGCATATCAGGAGTTTTTCAGCCTTATATGTTTTTATATGTTTGTCTGCGGAGTAGTTTATAAAGTGAGCATCAAGAAAATTGCTGTTATCTGTTGTTTTTACACTTATCTTATCATTAGTGTTTAAGTTGTTGCTGTTTGCTGAAGACTGGCATGGAGCTGATAGAGAGGGTCACCAGAGGAGATGTCTCCTCTTTCCTGCTGATATGTATTCAGTTTGTCTATAAATTGTGCTATATATACACTGTGGGGTTCAAAAGTCTTAAGTCCACACTGAAAATCTAGGATTCAAAATAGAATTTAAAACTGAAGGTGTTTTATGATTTGGAAAGAAGCTATAGTGAAGTTCATGCAGCTCAAATGCTGCGGTCATTAAAGCAAAAGAGAGACAAGCCAACTACTAAGACATTATACAATTCACGTTGATTATTTTTCACTAAAATTTCTCTCAAAGTATTCTGATAATACAACTAGTAATAACAAAAAATAAAAAACTATATAAGTACACTCACTTTTACACTAAGATTGAGGTCAGTACGATTTTGTACGTTTTTGAAAGAAGTTTCTTATGCTGCATTTCATCAAAAATACAGTAAACCAGTAATATTGTGAAATATTACAATTTAAAATAGTCATTTTCTACTTTAATATATTTCAAAATGTAATTTATTCCAGTGATGGCAAAGCTGAATTTTCAGCAGCCATTACTCCAGTCTTCAGTGTCACATGATCCTTCAGAAATCATTCTAATATGCTGTTTGAAACATTATTATTATCAATATTGAAAACAGTTGTGCTACTTCATTTTTGTGTGGAAACCATGTTACTCATTTTCAGGATTCTTTGCTAAAAATATTAATTTCTTTCAAAACAACCCCAAAGTTTTAGTGTTAGTGAATGTAAAGGTCTCTTTTGAAGTGTTCATCCTTTAGGGAACTTCCAAAACTATATGTCAAACTGTTTTCTCTGTCTGTTTCTATTATGGGAATGTATGTTCCTGCTTTTACTTTGAGAGAGACATGTTTAGAATAGCTGGGTACTTTTTACAAGGCCTCTCTCGCTCACGGTTTCTCTGTCTCTTTCTGAAGGTATCTGGCCTGTGGTGAATGTAGTTAACTGCTGACTCAGAGAAGGGAATAGATAACCAGACACTAAAACATTACAGCAACACCATACAGAAATATAAATGCCAACCCCTTCTCACTCT